CCCCCCCCCACAGAAGCCCAGCATCCTTGACAACTTTCTGCGACACAAGTGTAGTGAACATCACTACCCTAAAGTGAGGGCCATGGAGATAAGGTGCTCATAGGCAGCACTTGCTCTAAATGGCGCATCTGGCAGTTCCGCTCTGCTTCCCGTTAGCCATCAGCAGTTGCTGATTTCAGGAAGGCAAGCTTGGCAATTCCTCTTCTTTTGCCATGTATTACAGTGCATAAATAGTGCATGAAATCATCGGTTATAGACCGTCTCATCTACCATATTTTGTTGGTTCCTTACTTCAGAAGGGCTGATGGCCTTGCATCAGTCTTATTTGGTCCCAATTCTTCCTGATCTGTATAACGGTTGAGCTTCAGATCTTTGCACTTTGGTGACAGCTCATACCTGGGTAAAAGGCACACTGAATCTCCTTTTGGTGAGTTCAGATCAGGATAAACACTGGTTTAGCCTCAGCTCTGTAACCTCACTACATGCTGGTCTCAGCTAAGTCCTGCACCAAGCAACATGTTATTTTAGAGGTTGGTTTTGGTTTGTTTTGTTTTTCTGTATTTTATTTTCATTTTGCTGGGATACCACACATAAAAGTACAGTAATAACCAAATAAAAATAAAAGTAATGAATGTATTTATTATGAAAACTTACAAAAGGCCTTTGATGGGTGCCTTTTGTGTCAGCAGTTTCACAAAGTTGCCAACAAGCTTTCTAGCCATCAGACAAAAATGTGATGTTTCATATCTGTGCTGCAGTATCTATCTACCCAAGCATTTGATGTTCTAAATAATGATTTAGTAAGTCTATCTCAAATTAGCGACATCTGACACAATTGTGTGGAAAAATAAAAAAATAAAAAAATAAAACGCTGTGTTAATAAGGATTAAAAGAAAAACATAGGACCCAGTCATCAGGAAAGGCAGAATTTCATTGTGCAAGTTAACTTTAGGCTTTGTAATTTTGCAGAATTATTAAACACCACAATAAAACATACTGTGGTACTTTTCTATCATTAGAGAAATATCAGTGAATCAAACAAATACAAAGCAGATGAATTTATTGTGAAAACAATGATGTCCACTATATAATCCAACATTTAAGCTAAACTAGCTCAGCTTTAATGTTTGTCCACTGGCTGCAGTACAAATATAACCATACTAACACCTAATAGGCTTTACTCTGGAGTGACTTCTTGGACTGTGACTACTTTGTTGTTACATTTTGTAGAATAGATATTTAAAGACAGTAACAAGAATTGTTAATACAGTATCTGTAAAATTGGATTGGTTAAAATATTTCACTCTCCTACAAAGTAAAAAAAAAAAAAACAATTTAAGAAGTTTTCCATTATTATTTAGACCTTGTTTAACCCATTTCACAGTCCCCAAAACAGAAGACGATTCTGGTGAGTTCTTCCGACCTGTGCTGCTTCAGCTAGTGACACATTGTAATCCACATCCAGTTTCTGCATTGGGTCATGTTAAGCCTTTACTTTGAAGTCAGTGCTCCTTTTTCATCTATGAACTGCATTCATATTATAACCAGAGTGAAAAAAGCTGGTCCGGAGTACAGGGGAATATTTGAAATTTGTGTTCAATTTCACCAAGTACCTGTGAATTTAAATTTTTATTTTTTTTCTTAGAAGACCGATGTTTACTGCAGAGGCATAGAACATTATAACTGCATTTCTGAGTGTCATTCCTTCAGAAGTGAGCATTCACTGGATAAAACATACTAATTAATCAAATAATACAACACTCCTCCATAGCTGAAGTTTGTGTGGGTCTTTGTCCAGTTTAACTGTCATACCCAACAGTATCATGCTGCCAACTGTACATAAATAGAGGTCAAGATCTGCCTACGCTCACGCTCTGTCCCTGCACAGACGGTTCCATGTGTAACGATAGATGGCCCAACACCTCTAGGGAACAAGCAAGACAGACAGAAAGGGGTAGAGTTATGGTTTTGTGTTTCCCATTTATAGAAAAGCTAAGCACAATCTTTTGTGTGCTAAAAAGCTAAGCCTTTTCTTACTCCTCTTTTTGACGATCAAAGACGCAGGACTGACTTCTTGCAATTAGATGGAGAAAGATGTAGAAAACCTGTTGGAGATCTTTGACATTCAGCCATTAAAGGCTACAATAAGGCCAGTACCGATATTTGGATATATGAAGTTACATCAAGGCAAGTGACTGGGAAGTGGCCTAAGTGCCAGCTGACAGACCACATGGCAACTGATGTAGAAATAAGTTCTGATCTTTATTAATAAAATTCTTACTCCTTTCTCAAAAGACAACAAAAGAAGAAGAAAAAAATAATCAGCTTTTTCATAATTGCATGCACAATTAATACAGGCTAAACAATTTTTTTTTTTTTTTTTTGGTAACTAACTAACTGATGTATTGGATGGAGAGTGTGTCTGTGTGCATGACTGTTTCTGCATATATGCACGTCCACACATACACACGTAGATGTATGTGTGGATATATGCACACAGGCTATATGTATATAAATGGGGGTGTATATGTATTTGACACAGTCTCATCACAGGAAAGTGGTTTTTTTTTTTTTTTGGAGGGTGGTGAAGAAAGACACAAAGAAAAAAAAAAAATGTGACTTTTACAGACTAGCACATGGAGGAATGGTACCTACTGTTTCCTCCTGGTTTGACCAAAAAGCAGCTGTTCCTGTTAGCTATATGAGCTGGGTGCTGTCAGCACACTGCAGAAACCCTCTCACTGCTGACGCAGGCGTGTGCTTCTGGCCCCTCTCCACACCCATGCACATGCGTGCTCCCATGTTGCCCGAAAGTCTGCTGTCTCTCTGACTCGTGGCTCTTATTTAAGTTGTCCCCTGAAGCCCGTGAGCACTAAGGTGAAAGGATAAAACTGTCCTCTGATGTGGTAGTGTTTGGGGAGCAAGTGTGAAGCACGGCAAACGTTAAGGTGTAAAGAAAATATTCAGAGCTTAAATGCAATTTTTAAGGCCTCGATGCCACTGTCTTACTGCTGCTTGTAAGATAATAAGTATACCATGTATTTATTAATAGGGAAAAAAAGAAAGATGCAAACATTTCCTTGCACTTTTTGAAAACTTTCTAAAACTATATCACCTCTGTTTTAACAGCTCTTCTTTCAAATCAGCACCGATGGCCAAACACTAGGAAGGAAGTACATGTGGCGGAAAGTGCAACCCCCTTGATCTGGGGCATGATCAGTTGTACAGCGCTACAGGTCCATGGACAACTTTGTCATTCTGCCTGTAACACAAAGGGGCCCTGCAAGCCCTGCTAGCCCGAAAGCAAGGAGTGTAGGGAGAGAGCAAGCGGGGGGGAGAGGGACGCGACACATCCAGGTCCTGAAGCAAATGTAAGCACGTGGCTATTTGCAATTCATCTGCAATGGGAAAGCCAGCGCTGCTTGTACAAGGCTGCAGGGCAATGAGGATCCCGTGTAGCCTTATTAAGCCACACAGGTGTCTTCAAAGAGTTGATGAGGCTTCAGCAGCTTACAGGCTGTACAGGAAGCCAGGTTTTGGGTTTTTTTCCCTATTTTTGAATTTTAAAGAAAAAGGCCACCCAATGACTCAAGTGGCATGGATGTGAAAAGAATTGGCCTCAGCCAAACCTGGAAAAGGGGAAAAGTAATTTGCATGTACTGTACAAGGGACACTATGAAAGTATTGACTGTAGCCTTTTATTATAGGTTGTTAGGTGGTGGTGAGCAAGGTGGTTGTTGGTTTGTTTTGGGGTTTTTTTTTGCCCAGTGTAAGGAGGACTTGACCTCTTCTAGAACATGAGAAGGGGAAAAGTGTGTGCTCATATAAAGAGGACTGGGCCTCGACGTTGCCAGTTTTGAGGATAGGGGGTGGTTTTTGTGGGGGGGGGGGGGTGTGTGTATGTAAACTACAGCTAACAACTACTGCAATAATTGGATGCATAAACTGATGCATGATTAAAAAAAGCAATAATTTACAAATGGGTAATTATGCATGTTTTCACTGCTTAGTCACTCACCGGTGAATCCATAAACACATTAGCAACTGCCCTGTTCTAGCTGACTCGCATGGGCTCAAAGTTAAACACAGAGCAGGCACTCACATGGTTTTATCAAGAATCATGTTCGTAAGGGCTTCTGGATCCCAATGTATTTGAATTGAACACATAGTGAGGTCACAGGTTATATATGTGTGTGTGTGTGTGTGTTATTTTGTTTTAAAAGCTGTTAGCATTGCGAATTTCTTTAGCACCAAAAGAAGTGTGTATCTCACCTTTCATTTCTAATTTTAAATGTGCTTAAACAAAATAACCAAGTGTGTGAAAAGCGATGAACAGGACAAAGTGAAAACAGAAATCCTTTCTCTGTGTTACAGTGGTTTGGCCTGGGAATATCTGTCAAAAAGTCAATGGCAGATGCATAGAAAAATTCAGGGGAAATGAGTGTTCTTTATATTCCTTCTTTTATTTTCCTCTCTGTGCCATCTGAACCAGCAATATTCTCAACATTTGAACAAGCACTTTTTTTTATATTATTATTAATTTTTAATTCTAAGAGTGTTTGAACAATCCCAGGCTTAAGGGACAGAGGGGTGTTCATTTTTTGTTTTTGGTTTGTTTTTTTTTTTTAATTCATCATATATGCATACCAGGTC